TCATATGCCTGTTGTCCATCTGGATGTCTTCTTTAGAGAAGTGTCTATTCATGTTTTCTGCCCATTTCTTCACTGGGTTATTTGTTTTTTGGGTGTGGAGTTTGGTGAGCTCTTTATAGATTTTGGATACTAGCCCTTTGTCTGATATTTCATTTGCAAATATCTTTTCCCATTACGTTGGTTGCCTTTTAGTTTTGTTGATTGTTTCCCTTGCAGTGCAGAAGCTTTTTATCTTCATAAAGTCCCAATAGTTCATTTTTGCTTGAATTCCCTTGCCTTTGGAGATGTGTCTAGCAATAAATTGCTGCGGCTGAGGTCAATGAGGTTGTTGCCTGCTTTCTCCTCTAGGGTTTTAATGGTTTGCTGTCTCACATTCAGGTCTTTCATCCATTTTGAGTTTACTTTTTTGTATTGTGTAAGAATGTGGTCTAGTTTCATTCTTCTGCATGTTGCTGTCCAGTTCTCCCAGCACGATTTGTTAAAGAGGCTGTCTTTTTTCCATTGGATACTCTTTCTTGCTTTGTCAAAGATCAGTTGGCCATACATTTCTGGGTCGAGTTCTGTGTTTTCTATTCTATTCCATTGGTCTATGTGTCTGTTTTTGTGCCAATACCATACTGTCTTGATGATTACAGCTTTATAGTAGAGGCTAAAGTCTCAGATTGTGATGCCTCCTGCTTTGGTCTTCTTCACTATCACTTTGGCTATTCACGGTCTTTTGTGGTTCCATACAAATTTTAGGATTACTTATTCTAGCTTTGCAAAGATTGCTGGTACAATTTTGATTGGGATTGCATTGAATGTGTAGATAGCTTTGTGTAGTATTGGCATTTTAACAGTATTTAGTCTTCCAATCCATGAGCATGGAATGCTTTTCCATTTCTTTGTATCTTCTCCAATTGCTTTCATAAGCTTTCCATAGTTTTCAGCATACATATATTTTACATCTTTGGTTAGGTTTATTCCTAGGTATTTTATGATTCTTGGTGCAATTGTGAATGGGATCTGTTTCTCTATTTTTCTTTCTGTTGCTTCATTATTGGTGTATAAAAATGCAACCGATTTCTGTACATTAATTTTGCACCCTGCACCTTTGCTGAATTCATGTATCAGTTCTATCAGACTTTTGGTTGAGTCTTTCGGGTTTTCCATGTATGATATCATGTCATCTGCAAAAAGTGAGAGCTTAACTTTATCTTTGCCAATTTTTATGCCTTTTATTTCATTTTGTTGTCTGATTGCTGATGCTAGGACTTCCAATAATATGTTAGACAACAGCGGTGAGAGTCAACATCCTTGTGTTCCTGATCTCAGGGGAAAGCTCTCAGTTTTTCCCCATT